TCTCTTTCGCTCTCTCTCTCTCTCTCTCTCTCTTTCTCTCTCTCTCTCTCTCTCTCTCTCTCGCTCTCCCTCAATCTCTTTCTCTTCTCTCTCTCTTTCTTCCACTTTGCACTATAGCCATATATCGATATGCTCGTATCTTATCGTTGTATTTCTCTCTGCGCTAGCTGGAAGAGAAGGTGCAGTTGTGGCAAGACTCGGGAGCGTGGTCATTCTGTGTGTGGGCAGGACTGCAGGCCAGCTGGCCCGACATGGTCGTCTCGGCTCTCAAGTTCCTATCCGGGGACTCCATAGGTTCGTTGCCTGCCTTCACGTGTTTCTACTAGAGCATCGATTAATTTTCTTAAAAACTTTATTGAATTATTTTTAATTTCAAACAAAATTTACAGTTTGATCTATTAAAAATAGTAAGATTATTTGCAAACGTTAATTTGGAGGTCTGCTAACAGTGAACTATATAGCACCCCTTGGTTATGTCATTGGCCATGAGGGTTAGCAGTTGGATGGTTGTAAGGAGACAGTGATATGTAAAGTATTGTGGTTGATTGTATTGTTAGTAGTGAGGGATGGTAGATGGCCGTTGGATAAAAGTAGTGGGGCAAAAAGGAAAGCTTGAGAGGAGATAAAAAATTTGTCTAATCTGATTGTTGTTGTTGTTGTTGTTGTTGTTGTTGTTGTTGTTGTTGTTGTTGTTGTTGTTGTGTGAGAGTGTCAGTGATGTCCTGCATTCGCGTCGACACCGCTCTAATCTCGGCGCGTTCGTCTCCGCGGCCGCAGGGCCTGACGCGGTGTTCCAGAACTTCGTGCCATACCTGGACTACAGGGAGCGGCAGCAGGCGTGGCAGTGGATCGGGACGACACGCGACGGAGACGATCAGCTGCTGCCGCTCTGTCTCTACTGGCTCGACAACGCCGGGCAGGACGCGGGAGCGGACGTCCGAGACACGTCGGGTCTCGCGTCTCCCCCTCCCCCTCGCTGGTATGTAGCATCGCTGCCCCACGCGCCTCCCCCTCGCTGGTATGTAGCATTGCTGCCCCCCTCCCTCATGCGCCTCCCTCTCACGCCTCTCCCCCTCCCCCTCGCTGGTATGTAGCATTGCTGCCCCCCTCCCTCATGCGCCTCCCTCTCACGCCTCTCCCCCTCCCCCTCGCTGGTATGTAGCATTGCTGCCCCCCTCCCTCATGCGCCTCCCTCTCACGCCTCTCCCCCTCCCCCTCGCTGGTATGTAGCATTGCTGCCCCCCTCCCTCATGCGCCTCCCTCTCACGCCTCTCCCCCTCCCCCTC